CACATGCCAAGACAGGGTGAGCCGCATGACTGCAGTGTAAGGGTAATAGACAGTCTGAAAGTGCGACCTGACCTCCAGACTGACCCACTTCAGGACCCCGACTTACAGCTTTTCACAGATGGGTGTTGCTGGAGAGAGAGGAATGGCAGCCTGAGAGCGGCATATGCAGTTGTCAGTGTTAACGGTGAAAATTTTGTTACAGTAAACAGCGGTGTTTTAACTGACAAACCATCAGCGCAGGCGGCAGAACTAGAGGCTCTCTGCGCCGCCTTGGAGTTTGCTAAAGGTAAATCTGTAAATATTTACTCCGACTCTGCGTATGCTACTCAGGCTGTCCATTTCAACCTCTCCGAGTGGAAAAGAAACGGCTTCTTGACTGCTAAAGGCCGACCCATCACACATAGAGCCCTGGTGGAGAGGCTGGACAGCGCTCTCCAGCTTCCAAAACAGGTAAGCGTCATCAAGTGCCAAGGGCACTCCAAGTCAGACAACTTTGAGGCCAGGGGAAACGAGGCGGCGGATGAGGCCGCAAAGAAAGCTGCCAACTACAAGGTCAGTACTCCAGGAGTGTTTGTGGTACGGGACGAGGGGCCAGACCTGGCAGACTGCCTGCCCGATCTGTCCCTTCAGGTTTTAGCTGAAGCCCAAACAAAAGCAGCTCCTGAAGAAATATCCATGTGGGTTCAAAAACGGGCAAAGAAGGATCCAGATACTGGCATCTGGTACGGCCCTGATGGCCGCCCCGCCCTGCCCATGGGGGACCTCTCACGAGCGGCTTTATCTGAGGCACATGGGCTAGCCCATGTGGGTCAGGTACAGATGCTCAGGAATATGTCACAATGGTGGCATCCCTTTAAGACAAGCATGATCCAAGATTATACTAGGTCCTGTCAAATATGTCAGAATTATAACCCATCGCCCTGCTCAGCTGTTTCCCCAGGAAAATTCACACCTGCTGCTTGGCCTGGGGCACATGTTGTGATGGACTTCACAGATATGATTAACAGGTGCGCAGGAAAGCGGTACCTGTTGGTCGTCACTGACACCTTTACGGGATGGCCTGAGGCATATCCTGCTGCAAAAGAGGATGCTGCCTCTGTAATCAAAGCCTTAATTCAGCATTACATCCCAACGCATGGCTTTCCCCAGTTAATAAGGTCTGACAATGGGACGCATTTCAGGAACAAACACTTGCAATTGGTAGAAAAACATCTGGGGCTAAAACATAAATTTGGAACGGTCTACCATCCTCAATCCCAGGGCCGAGTTGAAAGGATGAATCAGACCTTGAAAAGTAAACTCTCTAAAATCCTGGCAACGAGTAAATTGAATTGGCTACAGGCATTGCCTATTGCCCTGTTGTCAGCAAGGCACTCTGTTAACCGCATTCACCATTTCTCCCCATACGAGCTGTTAACAGGGAGGCCTATGCCAGGACCAGGAAACAGGGTGGTGCCTTTCACGAAAGACGACTCCCCAACACCCCCAGTGCGGGTGTACTGGGAACAATTGAGAGAAATGTTGTCTAGTTTTTCCCATCAGGTTGAAGGAAGTCTCGACCTCTGCGAGAAGGAGGCCTCGGAGGATCCACCAGCCTGGGTCCGTGTGAAGGTGTTCAAAAGGAAGTGGAACGAGCCCCGCTGGACCGGACCCTTTGAAGTGGTGGCCCGCACTCGCAAAGCTGTTCAACTGAAGGGACACGGGAACAAGTGGTTTCATCTCTCTCATACGAGACCATCTGACCCACCCTCGTAACCACGCTCACGGGTTGGACAGGGACTCACACACACGCTTACACTCGCTCTTAATATGTTGCCTTGGGACAGGGAGCCCTGGCCCACGACCAAAAGAGGGAGAGCCATCCTATGGGCTATCGCTGCAGTTGGTTTGGTCGTGGTCCTGGGAATTTTAACATGGGAAGTGTTAGAAAACACACAGCTAAGAGACAGGGCCAGACTTGTAACACAATCCAGTCTTTGGTCCAATAAGACTGACAGAAATAAAAGATCCATAGGAGAAGGCAGCGTTAGAGACTCTCTACCTACGGTTGTGACAGTAAAATGCCCGGTGGGTGCGACAATTACAGCCCACATACCAATGGCAACAATCTTTCCATTATCCTTTCGACCTGACTTCACACTCTACCTGTGTTACACACCGTCAACATGTAAATATGAGAGACATGGAAAAAGCTTTAGAGCATCGGTGGACTGCACCTGTGATGCTTGGGAGTATGTTATATCCAATACAGGTCCTGATTGGGGTTATAATAATGAACACAGATTGAAGGGACGAGTGATTCTGACTACAGACCACTCACAAACAACGGTGCTAGTCACTGTGAAAAATTGTGGGATTGATGTGAATGGGACTTACGTTATTGGACATTATCCAGGAGACATTAGACAATGGATTTCAATTGCCCTACCCGAGGACAAGGAGCTAGACAAGGAGGCCATAAATAGTGAAGTATGGCAAGACAAACAAAACGTACAGGTGACTGCTGACTGGACTGTTTCTGAATTGTTAAAACAAGCAACTGGATATGGGGATAGAAACGCTTGGTTGTGGACAGTGGAGCACATGTCAGCGGCTGCTGGCTTTGACGATTGTGTTGTGTGTTCTACTGCACGTCCCACTTTGTATACAGCCCCGGCTCCACTTTTCCCAGAAGATGTAGATGGTTATAATTGTATGATAAAGTTGTTTTGGCAAGAAAAGGACCTGACTGAGGAGACAAAGACAGTCCCTAGCAACTGTTCAATGTTTGAAGTATTGTTTCCAGAATTGGATTCAGAAATTCAGCCCCCTATGTTTTCCCACAGGAAAAGCAATTACACCTGTTTCCACTCACTCAATGGAGGGACGAGGCCGCGTCTCCAGTGGGGGTTCCTTCCAGCAGACTGGTGTGTCAACAACGTCACCCTGCCCAGTCCGGTCCCCATGACCCGGACCAGAGGTGATTTGTATTGGTTGTGTGGAGATTTAAAACTTAGACATAGACTAATAAAAAATTTTACAGGCAGTTGTGCAATGGTGCGATTAATGATGCCCATTTCCATAATTGGCCATAAGCCATCCCTAGACAGTCCCCACCCACAGCATAGATTTAAAAGGGCAATCCCATTCCTAGATACTGGGAAAGATAATCCAACTTACATGGACTCTATAGGTGTTCCACGTGGAGTCCCTCATGAATTCAAACTGGTAGATCAAGTTGCAACAGGTTTCGAAAATCTTCCAATAATTTCCGCTATTTTCCCTATCACGCCAAACAAAAATGTAGATAGAATTAATTTCATTTGGTATACTATGCTTAGGCTTGCCAATCACACCAGGGACGCAATAGAGGGATTGGCGGAGCAGCTGGGGGCCACCTCTCTGGTAGCATTTCAAAACAGAGTGGCTCTAGACATGCTCTTAGCAGAGAGAGGTGGGGTCTGCAGTCTATTTGGTACAGAATGTTGTGTATACATTCCAAATAACACACATCCAGATGGATCAGTTTCCAGGGCTCTGGCTGGTCTCAAAATGCTGTCAGAGCAAATACATGACGTTTCTGGAGTCCCGGAGAACCCACTGGAGGCGTGGCTGGACAGCATCTTGGGGAAGTGGAAGCATGTAATTTTGTCTGTTATCACAAGCCTTGCGGCCATCTTTGCAATAATAATGGTTGTAGGATGCTGCTGTATACCTTGTATACGTTCTCTTTGTGTTAAAGCTATAGACACCGCTGTTAACCCTGGACTGAGAGGTCAAATGCTTGCATTGGTTGAGGATTCCCCCGTCCCGTCGCCTGAGGAAGGTTATTGAAATGTGTGGCCTTTTTTTAATAGCGGCCAAAAGAGGGGACTGTTGTATTAAATATAGGCTAAAAGGCGATGTGAATTAGATTGACCTGAAATTGAACTCTGTCTGTCTCCAAGCAAAAAGAAAGACCTTGTATTGCCCTACTCCCCTGTCCCATTTTGTCCAAAGTGCATGGGTGAGTTAATGATAGTTAATCTGGGGGGATTCTGCTAATCCTTTCAAGTTGTGAAAGAAGGAGATGGAGTCCAGAATCTGGAGGAGAAGCCTTGAGATCCCTCTGCCTTATCTCAAAGGAACTAATAAATCGATAGAATTAGGGAGGGGTAGTGCGTGAATGATTTCTGTTTAGGTTTGGCGAGACGGAGGAAAAGGCCGGACCTTGGACCAGACATCTGCCTGATACGACACGCCCCCTTCTTCATGCACATTTACTTATAATAACCTCATGCTTGTGTTAGTCTAGACCGGACCAGGGACAGGAGTGTGATTTGCGTGGAGCGCCCACCAAAATCATACTTTTATATTTTATATAGAGAATAAGGGATAGTTACTTTTGGTCCGAACAGCTGTTTTAGATTCTTTTTGTATTAGGGAAATAAACCTTTTTGAATTTAACTTCCTGAATCATGGTCATCTTTATAAGGGATTTTGAACACGTCATTTTTTAATATAATAGTTTGGGTCTGTGTTTGGGACTGGTCTGGTCTCGTTCTGGTCTGGTCCGGATATGACAACTCTGAGTCTCATATTTTGGTGGTGGCTCCATCGTAGCTTTGATCTGCTTTGAAGAACCCACATCTGCACCAATGAGACCAATGAGAGAAGTGGGTGGAGCCTCAGATAGTAGGAGGAGCCTCAGATAGTGAGAGGAGCCTCATACAGTGGGAGGAGCCTAAGACAGTGGGAGCAGCCTCAGATAGTGGGAGGAGCCTCAGACAGTGGGAGGAGCCTCAGATAGTAGGAGGAGCCTCAGATAGTGGGAGGATCCTCAGATAGTGGGAGGAGCCTCAGATAGTAGGAGGAGCCTCAGATAGTGGGAGGAGCCTCAGATAGTGGGAGGAGCCTCAGATAGTAGGAGGAGCCTCAGATAGTGGGAGGAGCCTCAGATAGTGGGAGGATCCTCAGACAGTGGGAAGGTTCTCCTGGTTTGGTGTGAATGGCTCAGATTAAAGACGACTGTTTGCATTTTTTCAAATCCAGTCAGAATTCCGAGTTGTGCCGGTGTCCCAGTGTTTGTAAACCAGACTCCTCCCACATGGGTCCCTCCTGCGCCCCCTGCTGGCCGTGCGTCCCTCCTGCGCCCTCTGCTGGCCGCCCGGCTGAGGCGTGTTTGGGCTGCTGACCTTGGTGTCCCCTCCCCCGATGCCGCACTCGCCTTTGTCATACCACCATCTGTTTTTCAATTTGTCCAGCAGGCCCTGCTCGTTCAGTTTTAACACTGCCAAGTTAACTGGGTTTCTACGGAGACCATAAGCAGCTAATTAATCACAGTCGTTATGATGGTTAGCATAAATGACAAAAGCACAAACGAATGGGGCGCTGCTGGATGAGATTCTCAACCTGAGCCTTTGGAACCGGTCACCTGCTTTCTGACGGAGCTAAGATTGTGGATGAAATATTCTCACTCAGATTAGATTCAGTTCAATTCCATTTGTTTTTGTAATTCCCTAAATTACAACTGTAGTTTTCTGTTCTCCATGTTCCGACGTTGTTACTCATCAAAAACAGACCCCTCCCCTTTCATGGATCACTCTGTGTTGAATCTGTCCGATCTGTGAGGTCATAAACAGAGCAGAGATTTTACAACCTTTTTTAACAGAAAGAGTTGTGATAAAAGTGTGAGAACGAACCCTGATAGGCTCTGAGTGAGGGGGGTCCTCTCTTTTTCATCATTTCTGTCTGAAAAACCTGATCTAAAGACCAAGACCAGAACTAGGACCAGATTAAGGTCAACGCCATAAACAGATCAGGACTAGAACAAGACTAAGGCCAAGGCCAAGATCAGATCAGGACTAGACCAAGACCAAGATCAGAGAAAACTAGTGATAGAAGCAAATTGTTTTAGATCCTGGAATTAGTTATAGTAGATTTTATTACTAGTTCTATTGTTTTGGTCTGAAAGTTACGTACCTCAGCTTTTAACACAACATGAAACATTATTATTTTAACAAAGCCACTGTCGCCATCAACTGGTGTCAGTGGGAATGACAGCTCCCAATGCAAGCCATTTAAAGCATGTCGGAGGCAGAACTAGTTTGGAAAGACCTCAGAATGAGATTTCTGCTGATGTTTGTGATGTCACAGCTTGAACGATTCGGAACCCCGCCTCGGTCTGATTACGAGGAGCAACAACGATGGAACGTGGATCATGCCTCCTTCTCTGTGGGTGAGCTCGGTTCCCAGGAGCAGCTTGAAAACCAAATGTCAAGGACTTCAAAAATTAACTTTGAACCGGTCATCTGTGGACCGGCGGTGCGCACGGGAACGTTCTGGACCCGTTTGGACTTGACCCTAAACTTGATCCGGAACGTTCTCCTCTGTGCTCCGCTGGTGCAGGACGGCAGCGGATGCGATGATTTGAAGACGGAATCACCAGAAATGATCCCAGAAAGTCCTCGATGGAAGAGTTTTGTTCAGCGTTCGATCTCTGACTCTTGTAAGTAAGTAATTTATTTATATAGCGCCTTTCAAAGATCAGAGTCACAAAGCGCTTTACTATTGTTGTGAGCATTTGTCTCTCACTCCACACAGAGATGGGAGTGAGGTCGCCAGTACAGGAGACGCATGCCAGAACTATTGTACATGTTTTTAGTGGTAGGGGAATCAGGAGCACCCGGAGGAAACCTACGCAGACACGGGAAGAACATGCAAACTCCACTCAGAGAGGGCCTGTTCCTACCGGGATTCGAACCCAGGACCTTCTTGCTGACCCACTCCTGCCCTTTACAACCATCAGCTTAAACTTTTTACTATCCATCCGTCTTTCAGTTGGGGGCTTCAGGCAAAGTGGGGTTAAGTGTCTTGCCCAAGGACACAACAGAAGCAGACATCAGTGGCAGCAGTTGGTGGGTCTCATGGGGATCAAACCCTCGACTGTCAGGTCTGAAAACTGAGCCTGTGTCGATCTGCTGCAGTCTGGACACTTCCATGTTACATACTGTACGTCATGGTCATGTCCTGCACCTCCTTCATGTGGGAGGGTCTCCAGCACCTCCTTAATGTGGGAGGGTCTCCAGCACCTCCTTAATGTGGGAGAGTCTCCAGCACCTCCTTCAGGTGGGAGGGTCTCCAGCACCTCCTTAATGTGGGAGGGTCTACTGCACCTCCTTCATGTGGGAGGGTCTACTGCACCTCCTTCATGTGGGAGGGTCTACTGCACCTCCTTCATGTGGGATGGTATTTTTTTGTATCAGAGACTTTCGTTTGACGAGAGAAAACAAAACTCTTCCATCGGTCGGCGGAGCACAGGGAGGAGCAGAGAGAGGAGCAGAGAGAGAGGTGCAGAGAGAGAGGAGCAGAGAGAGAGGTGCAGAGAGAGAGGAGCAGAGAGCGAGAAGCACAGAGAGGAGCACATAGAGGAGCAGAGAGAGGTTTGTGTTGTGAGGAGGTGTTTGCAGAAACAGATTTCTGAGAGTTCAGTTTCTCTGTTTACAAAGTGCCACAAGTTTGTTAGAGACGAAGTGAAACTAAAGAACATCCAACTTTTCAAATACTTACTCCTGTCTCTCCTCCTCCTCCCACTCATCATCTTCTCCCTTTTCTCCTCCTCATTATCCTTCCCCTCCTTCTCCTCTCACAACCCCTCCCCTCTCCTCCTCTTACACCTCCTCCCCCTTCCCTCCTCTCACACATCCCCTCTCCTCCTCCTTCTTCTCCCTCTATGCTTCTTTCCCCCATCTCTCCCTTCTCCTCCTCTTGCACCTCCTCTCCCCTCTCCTTCTCCCCCTCTCCTTTTGCACTTCCTCCACCTCACACCTCCTACCCCTCTCCTCCCTTCCCTCTGCCCTCTCCTCCTCCTACTCTTGCACCTCCTACTCTCTTCCCTACCCTCTGGTCCCTCTCCACCTCCTCCTCTCTCACCTCTCCTCCTGACCTTCTCCTCTTGCACTTCCTCCTCTCTCACTACACCTCCCCTCTCCCTCTCCTCCCCTCCCCTCCTCTCTCACTTCCCCTCTCCTCCTCTTTCTTCTCCCTCTATTCTTCTCTCCCCCATCTCCTCCTCTTGCACCCCCTCTTCCATTTCCACCTCACAACTCCTACCCCTCTCCTCCTCTCCTCCCTTCCCTCTGTGCTCTCCTCCTACTCTTGCACCTCCTCCTCTCTCACGTCCTCTCCCACTTCCCTAACCTCTGGTCCCTCTCCACCTCCTCCTCTCCCATCTCCTCCCCATCTCCTCCTCCTCTCACCCCCCCTTCCCTCTTCTCCCCCTCCTTCTCCTCTCATACCTCCTCCTCCTCCCCTCTCTCCCTCAGTACCTGGAGATAAACTATTAATATATGTTTTATGTATGTCTTCTGTTTTTGCAAACTCCCTCCACGACACCCGCCGCAGAGAGACCCACACACCGACCCCCGCCCCTTCTGTCCAGCAGCCTCTCTTTCAAACAACATGAATCTCCTCCGTGCTACTGTGACCCTCTCTTCGCCTGTAGTCACCAAAGTGGGCGGAGCTTTCTTTTTTCCGACTCCCAAAACTAAAAATACAGATCATACTCATGCATCAGATTCAGAGGTGGATTAATTTCGGGCTGAAGAGATTCTACGGGAGACAAAGCAGCGGTGTGTGTGTTCTCTGCGTCAGCTTTGAGTCTGGTGAACACAAAGCCCTGATGAGGAATGAAACGAAGCTGTCAGAGAAACTGGGGCAGAGCGAGAGAGCGTTTACTGACGAGACAGATGTAAAAGCCGTGTCCGAGCGTTAACCTCATTCAAAGCACAATTTAGAGCAGCGTTCACAGCTCACTACTTTGATTCTGCAGCGAGCGGAGAGAGAAAAGATCAAGCTTTGAATCAGTGTCGTCCACTTAAAGCTCCGCTGTTTACTCCTGTGTGCAATACCAGTGTGTGCAATAATACTGTTAGTAATGTCAGAGTGTGCAATATGGATCCACATGTGCTGCTGTTACTGTGTCCCAGAGCCTCTGCTAACATGTACAGATGAATACATACTACTATATATTTCTCTCCCTGGTCACTCTCTCTGGTCTCTCTCTATGGTCTCTCTTTCTGGCCTCTCTTACTGGTCTCTCTCTATGGTTTCTCCCTGGTCTCTCTCTGGTCTCGCTTTCTGGTCTCTCTCTGGTCTCTCTCTCTAGTCTCTCTCTCTGGTCTCTCTTTCTGGCCTCTCTTACTGGTCTCTCTCTCTCTGGTCTCTCACTGGTCTCTCTCTCTGGTCTCTCTCTCTGGCCTCTCTCTCTGGTCTCTCTCTCTGCTCTCTCTCTCTGGTCTCTCTCTCTGGCCTCTCTCACTGGTCTCTCTCTCTGGTCTCTCTCTGGTCTCTCTCTCTGGCCTCTCTCTGGTCTTTCTCTCTAGTCTCTCTCTGGTCTTTCTCTGGTCTCTCTCTCTCTGGCCTCTCTCTCTGGTCTCTCTCTCTGGTCTCTCTCTGGTCTCTCTCTCTCTGGTCTTTCTCTCTAGTCTCTCTCTGGTCTTTCTCTGGTCTCTCTCTCTCTGGCCTCTCTCTCTGGTCTCTCTCTCTGGTCTCTCTCTGGTCTCTCTCTCTCTGGTCTTTCTCTCTAGTCTCTATCTCTGGTCTCTCTCTCTGGTCTCTCTCTGGTCTCTCTCTCTAGTCTCTCTCTCTCTGGTCTCTCTCTCTGGCCTCTCTCTCTAGTCTCTCTCTCTAGTCTCTCTCTCTGGTCTCTCTCTCTGGTCTCTCTCTCTGGTCTCTCTCAGGTCTCTCTCGCTAGTCTCTCTCTCTGGTCTCTCTCTCTGGTCTCTCTCTCTGGTCTCTCTCTCTCTAGTCTCTCTCTCTGGTCTCTCTCTCTGGTCTCTTTCAGGTCTCTCTCTCTAGTCTCTCTCTCTGGTCTCTCTCTCTGGTCTCTCTCTCTAGTCTCTCTCTCTAGTCTCTCTCTCTGGTCTCTCTCTCTGGTCTCTCTCTCTGGTCTCTCTCTCTGGTCTCTCTCTAGTCTCTCTCTAGTCTCTCTCTCTGGTCTCTCTCTCTGGTCTCTCTCTCTGGCCTCTCTCTCTGGTCTCTCTCTCTGGTCTCTCTCTCTCTGGTCTCTCTCTCTAGTCTCTCTCTCTCTGGTCTCTCTCTCTAGTCTCTCTCTGGTCTCTCTCTCTGGTCTCTCTCTGGTTTCTCTCTCTCTAGTCTCTCTCTGGCCTCTCTCTCTGGTCTCCCTCTCTCTGGTCTATCTCTCTGGTCTCTCTCAGGTCTCTCTCTATAGTCTCTCTCTCTGGTCTCTCTCTCTGGTCTCTCTCTCTAGTCTCTCTCTGGTCTCTCTCTCTCTGATCTCTCTCTGGCCTCTCTCTCTCTGATTTCTCTCTCTGGTCTCTCTCTCTCTGGTCTCTCTCTCTGGTCTCTCTCTCTGGTCTCTCTCTCTGGTCTCTCTCTCTGGTCTCTCTCTCTGGTCTCTCTCTCTAGTCTCTCTCTCTGGTCTCTCTCTCTGGCCTCTCTCTCTGGTCTCTCTCTCTCTGGTCTCTCTCTCTAGTCTCTCTCTCTGGTCTCTCTCTCTGGTCCCTCTCTCTGGCCTCTCTCTCTGGTCTCTCTCTCTCTGGTCTCTCTCTCTTCGGTCTCTCTCTCTAGTCTCTCTCTGGTCTCTCTCTCTAGTCTCTCTCTGATCTCTCTGGCCTCTCTCTCTGGTCTCTCTCTCTCTGGTCTCTCTCTCTGGCCTCTCTCTGGTCTCTCTCTCTGGTCTCTCTCTCTAGTCTCTCTCTGGTCTCTCTCTCTCTAGTCTCTCTCTGGTCTCTCTCTGGTCTCTCTCTCTGGTCTCTCTCTCTAGTCTCTCTCTGGTCTCTCTCTCTCTAGTCTCTCTCTGATCTCTCTCTGGTCTCTCTCTCTGGTCTCTCTCTCTGGTCTCTCTCTGGTCTAATATGCTTCTTCATTATATGTTAAATGTTTTATTTTTTCTAGTGTAGAGTTAGGGTTATTATTGTTCATTTCTCTTGTGCTGTGTGCTCCTCATTCTTACTGTCTGTAACTGATGCAACACTGACATTTCCCCGCTGTGGGACATGTAAAGGATCTCTTCTTCTTCTTCTTCTTCAGATTTCCTTCAGTCGTGTTGAGAATAGAGCGAACATTCGGACACAGCTTTAGCTTGATGATGTTTGAACAGTCGGAAAAACAGGAATTTACACAAATCAGACCAAAGCGAGAGGGACAAACATCTGACAAGAGACAAAAGAGACAGAGACAGAAGAGAGAGAGACAGAAGAGACAGAGAGAGAAGAGAGAGAGACAGAAGAGAGAGACAGAAGAGACGGGGACAGAAGAGAGAGAGACAGAAGAGACAGAGACAGAAGAGAGAGAGACAGAAGAGACAGAGAGAGAAGAGAGAGAGACAGAAGAGACGGGGACAGAAGAGAGAGAGGCAGAAGAGACGGAGACAGAAGAGACAGAGACAGAAGAGACAGAGACAGAAGAGATAGAAACAGAAGAGAGAGAGACAGAAGAGAAAGAGACAGAAGAATAGAAGAGAGAGACAAAGGAAAGAGAGACAGAGACAGAAGAGAGAGAGAGAGACAAAAGAGACAGAGAGAGAAGAGAGAGAGACAGAAGAGAGAGACAGAAGAGAGAGACAGAAGAGACGGGGACAGAAGAGAGAGAGACAGAAGAGACGGAGACAGAAGAGACAGAGACAGAAGAGATAGAAACAGAAGAGAGAGAGACAGAAGAGACAGAGAGAGAAGAGAGAGAGACAGAAGAGAGAGACAGAAGAGACGGGGACAGAGGAGAGAGAGACAGAAGAGACGGAGACAGAAGAGACAGAGACAGAAGAGACAGAGACAGAAGAGATAGAAACAGAAGAGAGAGAGACAGAAGAGAGAGAAACAGAGACAGAAGAGAGAGAGAGACAGAAGAGACAGAAGAGAGAGAGACAGAGACAGAAGAGAGAGAGACAGAAGAGAAAGAGACAGAAGAGAGAGACAGAGACAGAGGAAAGAGAGACAGAGACAGAAGAGAGAGAGACAAAAGAGACAAGAGACGGATACAGAAGAGACAGAAACAGAGGAGAGAGAGACAGAAGAGAGAGACAGACAGATGGAAAGACAGAGAGACAGACAGAGACAGAAGAGACAGAAGAGAAAAAGACAAAGACAGAGACAAAAGAGACAGACAGAGGGACAGACAGAGGGACATTTTAACAGACACTGACAAGACGCCATATTTCAACATTGACATCAATTATAGCATGACAACTCAGCACAACAAACACACACACTGAAGCAGAGACACACATACTGAAGCAGAGACACACACACTGAAGCAGAGACACACACACTGAAGCAGAGACACACATACTGAAGCAGAGACACACACACAGACATACTGAAGCAGAGACACACACACAGACACACTGAAGCAGAGACACACACACAGACACACTGAAGCAGAGACACACACACAGACACAGTGAAGCAAACACACACCCACACAGACACACTGAAGCAGAGACACACACACAGACACACTGAAGCAGACACACACACACACAGACACACTGAAGCAGAGACACACACACAGACACACTGAAGCAGACACATACACACACAGACACACTGAAGCAGAGACACACACACAGACACACTGAATCAGAGACACAAACAAACACAAACACACTGAAGCAGAGACACACACACAGACACACTGAAGCAGACACACACACTCACACACACACACAGACACACTGAAGCAGCCACACACACACACACAGACACACTGAAGCAGACACACACAAACACAGACACACTGAAGCAGAGACACACACACACAGACACACTGAAGCAGAGACACACACACAGACACACTGAAGCAGACACACACACAAACAAACACAAACACACTGAAGCAGAGACACACACACAAACACACTGAAGTAGACACACACACACTGATGCAGACACACACACATGTACACACTGAAGCAGACAGAGACAAACACACACTGAAGCAGACACACACACAAACAAACACAAACACACTGAAGCAGAGACACACACACATGTACACACTGAAGCAGACAGAGACAAACACACACTTTGTCACACACACTGTGTCTCTGCTTCAGTGTGTGTGTGTCACACACACGTCTCAAAGAAGGGATTCTCGGACTTACACTCTGGTCTCTCTCTGGCCTCTCTTTCTGGTCTCTTTCTGGTCTCTCTCTGGTCTCTCTCTCTGGTCTCTCTCTGGTCTCTCTCTGGTCTCTCTCTGGTCTCTCTCTGGTCTCTCTCTGGTCTCTCTCTGGTCTCTCTCTGGTCTCTCTCTGGTCTCTCTCTGGTCTCTTTCTGGTCTCTCTCTGGTCTCTCTCTGGTCTCTCTCTCTGGTCTCTCTCTGGTCTCTCTCTCTGGTCTCTTTCTGGTCCTCCTCACACACACACAAACACACTTACATACACACATACACTCACCGGCCACTTTATTAGGTACACTTTGCTAGTACCGGGTTGGACCCCCTTTTTCCTTCAAAACTGTCTTAAACTTAATTTGTGGCATAGATTCAACAAGGTCCTGGACACATTCCTCAGAGTTTGGTCCAAATTTGATGCAGTTTGTTCAGATTTGTCGCTGCACATCCATGATGCTCCTGTTCAGCCCAAAGTGTCTCTATTGGACTGAGATCTGTGACTGTGGAGGCCAGTGCAGTGAACGTCATGTTCAAGAAACCAGCCTGTGATGATTTGAGCTTAATGACAAAGTGTTTTATCTGCTGGAAGTAGCATCAGAAGTCCACTGTGGTCATAAAGGACATGGTCAGCAACAATACTCTGGGCTGTGGCAACAATACTCCATTGGTACTAAGGGACACAAAGAGTGCCAAGAAAATATCCCCCACACCATGACACCCCCAACACCACCTGAACCGTTGATACAAGGATGGATCCATGCTCTCATGTTGTTGACTCCATACTCTGACCCTACCATCTGAATGTCGCAGCAGAAATCCAGACTCATCAGACCAGCCAACTTATTCCAATCTTCTATTGTCCCATTTGAGCCTGTGCGAGTTGTAGCCTCAGTTTCCTGTTTTTAGCTGACAGGACTGGCACCCGGAGTGGTCTTCTGCTGCTGTAGCCCATCTGCCTCAAGGTCTGAGTGTTCTGTGTTCACAGAGGCTCTTGCAGACCGTGGTTGTAACAAGTGGTTATTTGAGCTACTGTTGTTGTCTTTCCATCAGCTCAAACCAGTCTGGCCATTCACCTCTGACCTCTGACATGAACAAGGCCACTGAACTGCCGCTCACTGGATATTTTCTCTTTTTCGGACCATTCTCTGTAAACCCTAGAGATGGTTGTGTGTGAAAATCTCAGTAGATCAGAAGTTTCTGAAATACTCAGAGCAGCCCGTCTGGCACCAACAACCATGCCCCGTTCAAAGTCACTTAAATCACCTTTCTTCTTCATTCTGATGGTTGGAACTGCAGAAGAACGTCTGGACCATGTCTACAGCCTATATGCTGCGAGTTGCTGCCACGTGATTGGCTGATTGGGAATTTGCGTTAAAGTGGCGTTGGATAGATGTACCTGATAAAGTGGCCGGTGAGTGTACATACAGCTCCACACACACACAGCTCTTCTCTACACACACACATACACGCACACACACAGCTCTTCTCTACACACACGCACACACACAGCTCTTCTCTACACACACAAACACACACACACACACACACACACACACACACACACGCACACACACACCTCTTCTCTACACACACAAACACACACACACACAGCTCTTCTCTGCACACAAACACACACACAGCTCTTCTCTACACACACAAACGCACACGCAGACACATACAGCACCTCACAAACTCACACACACACTCCAACACAGACACACACACAGCTCTTCTCTACACACACACGCACACACAGTCTCGAACATAGACACGCACACACACATGTACACACACACGCACGTACACACACACACACACACATACATACACGTACACTGCGCCTCACACAAACACATTTACACACACACACACTGGTTCTTCTACCTGAGCGGGGACCCTTTGGGCGTGGCCACCCCGTAGCCCTTGGAGTCCAGGTTTCCTCCCACCTTCATGGTGTCGCACGGCTTCCGCTGCTCGATGTACTCATTCATGGCTGACTCCAGCAGATACGCGTACTTCCCTTTGGATTTACGAACACGGATCACGCCTTCGTTTGTGTTCTTCACAAAGACCGACGGCTCCGCGCTGCGCATGTACGACCACATCTTCTCAAACACCGCAATCTTCGACCTCTGCAGAAAGACGGTCAGAGAGTGAGAGAGGAGAGGAGACCAGAGGGAGACCAGAGAGAAACCAGAGAGAGACCAGAGGGAAACCAGAGAGAGACCAGAGAGAAACCAGAGAGAGACCAGAGGGAAACCAGAGAGAGACCAGAGAGAGAACAGAGAAAGACCAGAGGGAGACCAGAGAGAGACTAGAGAGGGACCAGAGACAAAAGGGGGTCCAGAGAAAGATTAGAGAGAGACCAGGGAGAGACCAGGGAGAGACCAGAGAGAGACCAGAGAAAGACCAGAGACAAACCAGAGAGAGACCAGAGAGAGACCAGAGAGAGACCAGAGAGAGACCAGAGAGAGACCAGAGAGAAACTAGAGAGAGACCAGAGAGAGACCCGAGAGAAACCATAGAGAGACCAGAGAGAGACCAGAGAGAGACCAATATAATACAATATGATACAATATTTATAAAAAATTATAAAACTAATACCAATACTTTTAGACTTTCAGCTTCCAACCAGTTCTTAAATGTTTTACTCAGCGCTCAACCAACATGAGTTTGACAACCCTGAACTAGAACCTGGAACTGACACCAGGATAGGTGGCTGTCTGGTCTCTAGTCCATCCCTGGTCCCTCTCTGGTCTCTTTCTCTCTGGTCTCTGATCTCTGGTCCTCTAATCTCTGGTCTCTGGTTCTAGTTTCTCTCTGGTCACTCTCTAGACTCTCTCTGGTCTTTCTCTGGTCTCTTTCTGGTCTCTCTCTGGTCTCTCTCTCTCTGGTCTCTGGTATCTTTCTGGTCTTGGATCTCTGGTCCTGGCAGAGCGGACACAGACCCTGAAGAACTCCTTGGTGGATCCTCCGTCCAGGGTGCCGTAGGTGATCTCGGTCTGTTTGGCCAAGTCCTCGGCTCCTTCGATGGGAGACACCATGCGCTCCACGGTCAGGAAGGCCGCCAGGTTCGCCGTGTACGAGGAGATGATGATGAGCGTGAAGAACCACCAGACTCCGCCCACGATGCGCCCGGACAGAGACCTGCACGAAGCATCATAAAGTCTATGCAATCCCACCTGGTCTAATCCTGGTCCAAACCTGGTCTAAAACAGGTCTAAAGCAGGTCTGAAGCAGGTCTGAATCAGGACTAAAGCAGGTCTAAAGGAAGTCTAAAGCAGGACTAAAGCAGGTCTAAAGGAAGTCTAAAGCAGGTCTAAAGCAGGACTAAAGCAGGTCTGAAGCAGGACTAATTGTGCTTTCAGACGCGCATTCTCTAGTTTTCAGACGCACAAGTCTTCACACCAGAACGTCCTGGCCAGCGCCGGAAGTTGCGGAAGTAGCCGGCCGGCTCCAATGCTAACAGAGTTTAGAGAGCGGCTTCTCGTGTAAAGATCTTCTCCAATAATGCAGCTTTGCAGCGTCTCTGTGTTCTGAGAGCTTCCACAGACTTTATATAACAGTGTGTTCACGGAGGTGTGCAACAAGTTTATTTTATTATTAAACGGTATTTCCGCATCGGCGAACACACTCGAAGCAGTTGCATAAAGTCACGGGAGCATGACAACGCATATGTTCACAAGCACAGAGTCCCCTATTGTCAACCCTGGTTTAGTCCTGGTGTGGGTCCTGTTTTGGCTGTTTACTGTATGTTCAGTCTGCTCGATCAGTCCGCTAATGTCCCTGTGACCACTTTGCGGCTCTCTGATTGGTCGCTGCACGAACGTCCCGAGGAAAGGTTGTGCAAAGTTTATCTCCTGTGGGCGTCCTTTTTCCGCTCCTGCTCCTCCCCTTTGACTTTCCCGTCCGTGCGTCTCTACTGAGCGGTCCGTGCGTCCATGCGTTTTAACGCTTGAACGCGCGTCACCATTGACTTTGCATTGAAAGCAGACGCAACGCATGATCCGGTCTGAAAGCACCATAAAGCAGGTCTAAAGTAGGACTAAAGCAGGACTAAAGCAGGCCTAAAGCCGGAAAAAAGCAGGTCTAAAGCAGGACTATAGAATGTCAAAGCACACTTGATCTAAAACATGTTTGAACAGGATTAAACCTGGTGTAAAGCAGGTCTGAATCAAGTCTGAAGCAGGTCTAAAGAAGGACTAAAGCAGGTCTAAAGCAGGACTAAAGCAGGTCTACAGAACGACTAAAGGAGGTCTAAAGCAGGTCTAAAGAAGGTCTAAAGCGGGGCTAAAGAGGGCTAAAGCAGGACTAAAGAAGGACTAAAGCAGGTCTAAAGCAGGTGTAAAGCAGGACTAAACCTGGTCTAACCCAGGTCTAAATCAAGTCTAAATAATGTCTAAAATAGGTCTAAAGCAGGTCTAAAGCAGGATCAAACCTATCTATCTAATCTATTCCTATACTGTCATCAATTTAATGATATTTGAAGTTTAAAATGTCCTGGGCGCCTGTGTGTGTGTGTGTGTGTGTGTGTGTGTGTGTGTGTGTGTGTGTGTGTGTGTGTGTGTGTGTGTGTGTGTGTGTGTGTGTGTGTGTGTGTGTGTGTGCCCATCCTCCATACGACCTCACACCTTTCACCACCTTCTCACCACATCTCTGCCGTCTGCACCGTCGTATCCTGAACGGAGCTGAGAGGAAACTCCCCGGAGCCAAAAGCATCCGAACATAAACATTTCCATAAGACAGGTCCGAGAGGCGGCCATGTTGGGAGCAGAGGCTGTATACAGTGTAACCTCTGTGTAACCTTTGTGTAACCACGGCTCTAGGAAGGTCCTCTGATGACGTCAACAAACTCCTCTAGCTCAGTAACCGTTTGTCACCCTTAAAAATATGTGGTTTAACAGTCTGTCCGACCCTGGTGTTAATAATATGATATTGTTTTCATAATTCCAGATATGAGCTTTAACAACCGACCAATCAGGAGCCTTCTGTGCCTAAATTCGGCTTATAGTGTGAGTGGGAAAAGACTGGCGCCGCTCTTGATTGGATCATTGGTTGCTGAGTAGTTGCCATGGGAGAATTTGGCTCAAGATTCCCACCCAAATAGCCTGTTTGAGTCAGCTCTAATCCTCATGGAGCCTGGTCAGCGCAGTGATGGGAGACCGCAGTTATGGGGTTGGTAAATCTCAGAGGTAAAGCTAGCTGTAGATGTTCTTCCAAAAACGTTGTTGTGCCTTAGATTTCATGAACTTTCGATGGCGCAGATGAGCAGCCTCATATCAGTCAGTCTGTCCCGGGGCAGCTGTGGCGTGGAGTGATGGAAAAATGCAAAAAATTCTAGCTCTATGACTGAAAAGCCCAAAAGCTGGTGTAAATCTGACCTATAAATAATTTATACTAAGACTAAAACCAGTCTAAACCCTGTCTAAAGCAAGATTACAAGCAAGATTACTCATGCAGATGTAAAGCAGGTCTAAAAGAGATCTAAAGCTGGTCTAAAGCAGGACTAAAGCAGGTCTAAAACCGGTCTAAAACAGGTCTAAAGCAGGTCTAAACGAGGTCTAAAGCTGGTCTAAAGCAGGTCTAAAGCTGGTCTAACCCTGGTCTAAAGCAGGTCTAGGGCTGATCTAAAGCAGGTCTAAAGCAGGTCTAAAGCAGGTCTAAAGCTGGTCTAAACCTGGTCTAAAGCAGGTCTAAAGCAGGTCTAAAGCTGGTCTAAAGCTGGTCTAAACCTGGTCTAAAGCAGGTCTAAAGCTAGTCTAACCCTGGTCTAAAGCAGGTCTAAAGCAGGTCTAAAGCTGGTCTAAAGCTGGTCTAAACCTTGTCTAAAGCAGGTCTAAAGCTGATCTAAAGCAGGTCTAAAGCAGGTCTAAAGCTGGTCTAAAGCTGGTCTAAACCTGGTCTAAAGCAGGTCTAAAGCCAGACCCAACTGCAGGCCGCACATTCGTTGGTAAACAGTTTAAATGGAGCGTGTGGATTGGCTGGCGGCTGCAGGATAAATGCGTCATTATGACTCGGCGCTCACAGTTTGTCTTCAGGGAATCGTTAAAAACAACTTAATGAGCGAAAATTAGACTCGTTTTACTCCAGTATAATGGAATCCGCGAGGCGCCGCAGAGAGCCAGCACCCCGGGGGATTACACTTTTGTTTTTCTTCTGTAAATACAGCCGTTTAGATTACGCCTCTGCTGAGCTCAGAAACTTTTATATTGACTTTGATCCAACAATGTTTAACAAATCTATTAACGCAAGAGTAGGTGACTTTCAGAGCACAACAATGGATCTGTGCCATCGAATCATGTCCCTAGTTCCTGGTCTCTCTCTGGTCTCTGGTCTCTGTCTGGTCTCTGGTCTCTGTCTGGTCTCCTTCTAGCCTCCCTCTGGTCGCTCTCTCTCTGGTTTCTCTCTGGACTCTTTCTTTCTCTCTAGTCTCCCGCTGGTCTCTGTCTGGTTTCTTTCTGGACTCTCTCTTTCTCTCTGGTCTCTCTCCAGTCCCCTTCTTGTCCCTCTAGTTTCTGGTCCTAGTTCCTGGTCTCTCTCTGGTCTCTCTCTTTCTCTCTGGTCTCTCTCCCTCTCTGGTCTACCTCTGGTCTCTCTCTCTCTCTCTGGTCTAAATCTGCTCTCTCTCTATCTGGTTTCTCTCTCTGGTCTCCTTTTGATATGTCTGGTCTCTTTCTCTGGTCTCTCACAGGTCCCCTTCTGGTCTTTCTGGTCTCTTGGCTTCTCATTTCCCCTACACTCTCCTTCCACTGACCCATCTAGATAAATTTGTGGCAATAAAAATGATTCTGATAACTGAAAGATTACCGCTAGTTCTGCGTCCGAATGTAGTCCGAGCATAGATAGTCCGAGCATAGATAGTCCGAGCGTAGATAGTCCGAGCGTAGATAGTCCGAGCGTAGATAGTCCGAGCATAGATAGTCCGAGCGTAGATAGTCCGAGCATAGATAGTCCCGCAGGTCTCTCCCATAGACAAGTCTCTCCCATAGACAAGTCTCTCCCATAGACAAGTCTCTCCCATAGACAAGTCTCTCCCATAGACAAGTCTCTCCAGAGGATACGATGTAAGCTAGCTCTGTTCAGGGCTTGATTTCTTCTTTGATCATGTTTTGGCTTTAGTTCCCTCTTCTCTTCCTCACTGTTGTGTGGTTTGGGCTGTTTTGCTGTGTCTGCAGTTACAGCCAGAGGAGGTATAGCCACTTATGCTAACATGCTACTGTGTTTAGCAGCGCTGTAGAGGCTAGAGGACGCAGCCTTGTTCTGTGATTGGAGGAGAGCAGGCGTCACGCTAAAGTCTCTACTCAGCACTTTTTACGCCTGAAAACATACACAGCTGAATCAATGAGCTCAAGTTATCAATTAAATTAAATCAATGAAGTAATAAGTACTTTTATTTACTCACTAAAAAAAATTGGGTAGAGCTTCTTTAAACAGTTTTTTCTATAACTAATTTTCACACGCATGTATTTTTTGTGTTTCATTTAATTGTGAGTCACTATTTAACTCTTTGAGCTGAGAGCTGATTGCTAGTGAGAGAAGGAAACTGTTTTAGAGCCAGGAACTCATAAGAAATTAGTGACATGGATTTTATTATGGAGTTTAGTTTTTGTGATTTGAAAGTTTACTTAGTTTTTTCTCTCATTTGTCGTTCACTGACCTGGGCGAGATGTCGCAGCCCTGTTGCATGAAGGCTCCCAGAGAAAACCAGAGCGAGTTGAAGATTCCGAAGTCGTTGGTGTACTCCGGCTCCTCCCTCTGAGCGTCTGGAACACAGGACACAGGAATCAGCTGCTACTTCAAGGATTTCCCTTATCGTGGGTAATTCTTCGAACACAGAACCCCCGCGATAAACCAGGGACCAGTTAACATTGTCTCCGATGGAACGACTGAATTGTGTAAAAAGCAGTGGTCCCAGAATGGATCCTTGGGGCATCCCTTTCCTAACAGCAAAAGCTTTTCCACAGTCGTACCAGGATTCTGCTCGGCGTCGTTGCCGTTCTGCTCTTTGTCTTTAGATGGCGGTCTCCTGGTCCCACACTCTGGCCCCTCCTCCTCCTCTTCCTCTGACTCCTCCCCCTTCCACTCGTACGGGCTGAAGCGGCTCACCTGCAGCCACAAAACAGCTTGTTCAAAGCAGACGTCACTGGGCTTGCATTGGGGCTATTGTATAGAACAGCAGTGTCAAAGGACCCAAGGAGAGCTCACCAGACTCCACCAATTTCCTCAGGTGAGACCGGTTTTAACCTGACGACTTGAGGAAATGGGTGGAGTCTGCTGTGCTCTTCTCGTCCGATCTCTGTTCTCTCTCTGGTCTTTCTCTGGTCTCTTTCCGGTCTCTCTTTGGTCTAAGGACTTGCTGTTTCTCACTGCTCACTGGCAATTCTTTTCTCTCTCTCTGTTTATTTTGGTTTCTTTTTGGTCTTTCTCTTGTCTCTTTCTGGTCTCTTTCAGTCTCTCTGGTCTCTCTCTGGTCTTAGGACTCCACAAAGTAATCTGTTTCTCACCAGGAAGAGCACCACGCTGACACCGATGTAGGCGAACACGATGCACATCCAGATCTCGTAGGCCAGCGGGTCCAGGAAGGAGAACACGCCCGGCTTGGACTTGGTGGGCTTCTTGATCATGATGGAGATGCCCAGTGACATGAATGGTTTGGAGAAGTCTATCACCTGCTCCCGGACCAGAGTAATGGTGAGAGGAGCCACGGCCACGTCCGCCTGCTGCAGGGACCAGAAGGAGAAAGAGTTAAAGTAATGTTTGTATATAGAGCGCATTGTACAGACCAAGGTCACACAAACAGTTCAGATGTTTTTCCGTTTCCTCCACTTACGGGGATTACAGAAAAGAGACACAGAATCCCCCAGTTAACTCCATCCATTCGCTCACTCATTACATTCATTCCTGTTGTGTTTGTTTTTAGTGGTAGAACCCAGAGAGGGAAAAGAAAGAAAACAGAGAGACCAAAGACAGGCAAGAGAGAGACCAGAGAGACACAGAGACAGACCAGAGACAGACCAGAGAGACCAGAGAGAGACCAGAGAGACACAGAGACAGACCAGAGACAGACCAGAGAGACCAGAGAGAGACCAGAGAGAGTCCAGAGGGAGTCCAGAGAGAGACCAGAGAGACCAGAGAGAGACCAGAGAGAGACCAGAGAGAGTCCAGAGGGAGTCCAGAGAGAGACCAGAGAGACAGAGATAGACCAGAGAGAGACAGAGAGAATCCAGAGAGAGACTAGAGAATGGCTGAAGTGTCTTGTCCAAGGACACAACCACCATTTGTACACTTTACAGCCGCCCCACTGTGGGACAAGCATGTTCCCAGAGGTCTCACATCACAGTACAAACCAGGCCCTACCCCGCTTAGCTGGTCTGGTTTTCACATGCATGTATTTGATTTTTTTCTCACCCCGTACACCAGCTCGCCCACCATGCCGTTCCACAGCTTGGTCTCGGAGTCGCGGGCCCCGTACTTCCCGTCAGACACCACCTCCAGCCGGTACGAGAAGCCCACGTGTTTCGCGATCTCCGAGGCTAGCTCCGCGCAGTAGCCCTCGTAGCGCTCGTTCCCCACAAACTGCTCATGGTTCTTCTTCAGCATCATGTACGGAGGCTCCTGCGGCAGAACCACGCGTGTTTAAGGCAATCTGGTCAAATCTCTCACTTTCAAGTCTCCCTCTGGTCTGTCTCTCTGGTCACCCTCTCACTTTTGTCTCTCTCTGGGCTCCGCCTGGTCTGTCTCTCTGGTCTCTCCCTGCTCTTTCTCTCTACTCTCTCTCTCCGGTCCCTGTCTCTGGTCCCCGTCTGGTCTGTCTCTCTGGTTTGTCTCTCTGGTCTCTCTCTCTCTTTCTAGTCTCTCTCTCTGGTCTCCATCTGGTCTCTCGCACTTCAGCAGTTGTGAGTTCAGGTGGTTAGAAAAGTGTATAAAGTGTATGAGGGTTTTACAGCCTTAAAACAAACAGCTGCTACTGAGAAGATTTCATTTATCGCGGATTATTTTTAGAACACATCACCCCCGCCATAAACCAGGAGCCACTACAGCAGCACTGTTTACTGTGTGCTCAGAGGACGCTGAATGTAAAGGGTTTGAAAATATTAGTTCAAGTCACTTTGGATCCTCTGGAGACACAGACCCAGCAGCAGATCTACTTTAGAGCTCTGCTGCTACACATGTCGAACAGCAGGAGGTCCGAGAACACGCTATTATTTACATTTACATGTGTATATGGCACTGTTTCCACCAGCCCTACTCTACTCTGCTCTACTCCGCTTTAGTCTACCTGGTTGCGTTTTCATCAGTGATGGGCAGTAGCGTCGCTACTAGCTTAACTACATTTTCAGTAGCTTGACAGTAGCGTCACTATTTACAAAACCTAGTAACTTTTCTGTAGCTAAGCTATATTATTGCTCAAGTAGCGCGGTAGCGTCCGCCAAAGCTATTTTCTCACGGACATCTCTGATGTTCATATATTACAGCATTTTCCCGCAGCATAAAACAAACATATAGAAAGACAGAATGCTGATGCGCATGCGCAGGGCTTGGTAACGACACACACACACGAACGTACGCGCACACACACACGCACACACATGCGTGCGCGCTACTGGGGGAAGCAAAAGCATGGCAGAGAGCCCAGGAACCGCCGCGGTGGAGGAGGACCATGATAAGGACTCTCAAAGTGTTGTACCGTGGCCATACCTCCAAAAGTACGTCACTCTAGTCGAGATGAGCGAAAAGAAATATGTTTTCAGATGCCTACTCTTTGTTGTTTTTGGTGTTTTGGGCTATTGTTCAATAAATATCTACAAAATTGTAACCTTTATCTGACTGACAGTTTATCTCAAATAAGAAGATAAGCTTTATTAATCTCACAAGGGATAAATTTACATGCCACATTTGGCATGGATAAAACACTCAAGAATTGTGCAAAAAATAAGAAATGAGAAAACATGTTAATGCAGGAAAATATAAAATTGCATGAACTGCAGTTTGTTTAATTGAAAATAGCTTCTATATAGCAAGCTACTTTTGACAGAATTTTGTAACTTAGCTTGCTACATTTGTATGGGTGGTAGCTTCTGTATAGTGAAGCTGAATTTATTGTAGAGTAGCTTGTAGCTTAGCTCACTACACAAAGCAAGTAGCTTGCCCATCACTGGTTTTCATTATGCTTTAGTATCTCGTGCCGTGTCCTTTTAACCCTCCTGCTACAAACCAGTGTCCATCGGAACTCTGACCAATGACGACCAGCTCAGCCTGGATAGAACCAGGACTAAGAGGGACTGAACAGGGAGCTTGTATGGGTTAAACAGGGCCTGTGGAAACACTTGCAATTGGAGTAGAGTAGAGTCCACCCCTGAGTCTACCCTTCATACGCACTCTTATTATCAAGCCATTAGTGTCATCCGTATCAAGGGATCAAAAGTTAATGAACACAGATAATGGAAAAATGCTAAGCGACATTCACATTTAGTGTAGTGTAGAAAATGGTAATTAAAGCTGAGTTATGTAACTTTCAGGCCACATCATGTACAACTATATAACTCTAAACTGGAAAATAGCCATGTCACCAGTTCCAGGCTCTAAAACAGTTTTCTTCTCACACTAGTTTCCACATATGTTTGGCGTCTGTCACATCTGTAGCTTTTTCACCTGATCACCATCTCTCGGCCAATCAGCTCTCAGCTCAGAGAGGCATATAGTGACTCACAGGGATCATACATTACACATATCATGTTTTCTGAAGATGAAGATACCATGTAGTGAACTTGACTCTTTCTGTTGGACAAACCACATGTGTTATTCATGAGACTAAAGTTACAATTCCCAGCTTTAAGGCAGCGGTAACTGATTTAATTTGACTGCAGAAATAGCTGTAGTTTGGGAACATGTCGTTGTTGTGCAGAAGGGAGGGGCTCGTACCAGGATGGTGGTGACGACGTAGGTGCGGTTGAGGAGGCCGTAGAAGTAATCGTCCACCACAGAGCGGTAGTTGGCCGTGTACACGTATCCTCTCCGGGCGTTCCAGTATCCGATCTGAAACACGCTCCATGTCACAACACGGTTTTATAAAATGTCCTCAAGTGTTTTGTGTTCAAGCGAGAGAGGAATTTACTGAGCACTTGTTTTACACATTTGATTCAAACAACTCTGCACCAATCAGTGTGCAGTGTGTGGTGAATTAACACATGTCCTGTACTTAGCATAGCCACTTGCTACAGAAGCCACTTGTGAAGAGAGGTTGTGAAAAAGTTGAAAGTTACAGGTAATAAAAGCAGGAAGCATCTGACACAAACACCCGAGCTATCTCTCAACTGGTTCGTCTCCATGTGGAGGAGCAATGGCTCTACTCTGAGCTCCTCTCGTGTGACTGAGCTCCTCCCCCTGTCTCTGAGGGAGCTTGAGCCACTCTGCGAAGGGAACCCATGTGGGGCGCTTTTAAGCTCACGACCATGCGACGGTTCATGACCATGTGACAAATCATGACCATGTGACGGCTCATGACTACGTGACAACTCATGACCATGTGACGGCTCATGACCATGTGATGTGACGGCTCATGACCATGTGACGGCTCATGACCATGTGACAACTCATGACCATGTGACGGCTTGTGACTATATGTGACAACTCATGACCAGGTGACGGCTCATGACCATGTGACGGCTTGTGACCATATGTGACAGCTCATGATCATGTGAGGGCTCATGACCGTGTGATGTGACGGCTAATGACCATGTGACGGTTCATGACCATATGACGGCTCATGACCATATGACGGCTCATGACCATGTGTCAGCTCATGACCATGTGACAGCTAATGACAAGGCTGCCACCCATGTGAGAGACACCGACTGAGCCTGTAAATCCAGAGCTCTGACTGCAGACGCTGCTCCCTTTTCACCACAACAGCCCGATGTAGCGACTGCATCACTACAGGTGCTGCACCGACAGTCCGTCAATCACTGAGAAAAAGACCTGAAAGACTGGGACACTGCAGCTGGAGTGGACCCAGAGAGAACTGGGACCTTCCTCTGATCTCTCCTCCTAATTGTGCCTGGGGAGTCCTTTATTTTCCATAACTGTGCTCAGTAAGAGGCCTGACCTTGCGGGGCCCCGTGTGGCTCAGCTCCATCACCATCAGGGTGTAGTTTGTTCTCTGTCCATGTTCGTTGAACTGAATGTGGCCCGAAAGACCTTCCATCTGCACCTGCAAGAGACCACAGTCTGATGTCAAAAATGAGTCCACCACTGCCCCCGCTGGTGAGAGTGGGAATGACAACCCCCAATGCAAGCCATGTGACACAGTTTAAGGAAGAAACTCTCAGAACTCATTTGGAGACTACACATCTGTTTAAAAGAGAAATATGGCAGAGATTTTTCCTTATTATATTGTTTAGTTTAAATTAACATTCATAATGACACTATTTGTCTCATTAAATATCATGTCATTTGTCATTTCAGGTTTCAGAATGTGGAATAATATCTTCAGTAGAAAATATATACAGTGCGAAAGTATTGAACCTTTCAACATTTCGCCACATTTCAGGCTTCAAACATAAAGATATAAAAAAAATATTTTTTGTCATGAATCAACAACAAGTGGGACACAATCGTGAAGTGGAACCAAATTTATTGGATAATTAAAACTTTTTTAACAAATAAAAAACTGAAAAGTGGGGCGTGCAATATTATTTGGCCCCTTTACTTTCAGTGCAGAAAACTCACTCCAGAAGTTCAGTGAGGATCTTTGAATGATCCAATGTGTTCCTAAATGACTGATGATGATAAATAGAATGCACCTGTGTGTGTGTAATCAAGTCTCCGTATAAATGCACCTGCTCTTTGATAGTCTCAGGGTTCTGTTTAAAGCGCAGAGAGAACCATGAAGACAAAGGAACACACCAGGCAGGTCCGAGATACTGTTGTGGAGAAGTTTAAAGCCGGATTTGGATACAAAAAGATTTCCCACGCTTTAAACATCTCAAGGAGCACTGTGCAAGCAATTATATTGAAATTTAAGGAGTATCAGACCACTGCAAATCTACCAAGACCCGGCCGTCCCTCCAAACTTTCATCTCAAACAAGGAGAAGACTGATCAGAGATTCAGCCAAGAGGCCCATGATCACTCTGGATGAACTGCAGATAACTACAGCTGAGGTGGGAGAGTCTGTCCATAGGACAACAATCAGTCGTGCACTGCACAAATCTGGCCTTTATGGAAGAGTGGCAAGAAGAAAGCCATTTCTCAAAGATATCCATAAAAAGTCTCGTTTAAAGTTTGCCACAAGCCACCTGGGAGACACACCAAACATGTGGAAGAAGGTGTTCTGGTCAGATGAAACCAAAATCGAACTTTTTGGCCACAATGCAAAACGATATGTTTGGCGTAAAAGCAACACAGCTCATCACCCTGAACACACCATCCCCACTGTCAAACATGGTGGTGGCAGCATCATGGTTTGGGCCTGCTTTTCTTCAGCAGGGACAGGGAAGATGGCTAAAATTGATGGGAAGATGGATGGAGCCAAATACAGGACCATTCTGGAAGAAAACCTGTTGGAGTCTGCAAAAGACCTGAGACTGGGACGGAGATTTATCTTCCAACAGGACAATGATCCAAAACATAAAGCCAAATCTACAATGGAATGGTTCACAAATAGACGTATCCAGGTGTTAGAATGGCCAAGTCAAAGTCCAGACCTGAATCCAATCAACAATCTGTGGAAAGAGCTGAAGACTGCAGTTCACAAACGCTCTCCATCCAACCTCACTGAGCTCGAGCTGTTTTGCAAGGAAGAATGGGAAAGAATTCCAGTCTCTCGATGTGCAAAACATATAGAGACATACCCCAAGCGACCTGCAGCTGTAATTGCAGCAAAAGGTGGCGCTACAAAGTATTAGCGCAAGGGGGCCGAATAATATTGCACGCCCCACTTTTCAGTTTTTTATTTGTTAAAAAAGTTTAAATTATCCAATACATTTTGTTCCACTTCACGATTGTGTCCCACTTGTTGTTAATTCTTGACAAAAAAAATATTTTTTATATCTTTATGTTTGAAGCCTGAAATGTGGCAAAATGTTGAAAGGTTCAATGGGGGCCGAATACTTTCGCAAGGCACTGTATAGTGAAACAAGTGAAATTAAATGCAGGGTAAAAAGGCTATCGGTCTGTAACTCCCTATGCTGTCATTAGAGGGAGGCGTTTCGAAATGTGAAAACCACCGGCTGCAAACACAGAAATGGGATTGTAAAGAAAAATGGCCAAAACCAATTTCTGGACAATACTTTTGGTTTAAAAGGCAGACAACTGCTCATAGTGTGAGGTCATAGTGGTCCTCATGTGGCTCTCTATGGTCTTTCCCTTTCTGATCTCTACCCGGTCTCTCTTACCTCAGACCTCTCTCTCTGTCTCTCCCTGTTTACTCTCTGGTTTCTAGTCTCTCTCTCTGGTTTCTCTCTGGTCTTTGATCTCTCTGAGTGTGATGTCATAGTGGTACAATGACGGGAGCTTTCAGACAGAACGGGCGGAGCTACATGTTTCCGTCAGAAGGGTCTGATGTTAGCGTGGATGGATCTAAAGACAACTCCAGGTCTGACCCGGGGGTGTGTCTCCGTGTGGTTTACCTGCTGCAGCGCCCTCTGGATGTCGATGCCTTGTCCCCATGGCGACGGCGGGTTTGCCAGACACTCTCCAGCGTTACCGCGCCGTGAGATGTCGATGCGCTGTCTCCGTAGATACTGGAAGGCGGCGGCCATGACAGCCACGCCGTCGTACGTGAGCGCGCCGGTGTACTGCGCAGAGAGAGAGAAACATCTCACCTTTGGATCTGATTACAGTGTCCTCAGTCTCTTCTAAACTCTGTGCAGTGATGAACAATTACAATCTGAAAACGCTTGAGCAACGCTGCCGAATCATCCGCGCATCACAGATTCAGACTCAGACATGCTTGCTCCAGCTGAACACGTCTAACACATGCTCTGTTAGGAGGACTGTGAGCTGTGAGATGCCTGTTCTGGAGGTTCTTTATGAATCCAGACTCTTACACCAAGCTCTTAGAATAATCAATTACTCTTCCCCTGGAAAAGCCACGTTCCAGCTTCTTCCCACTGGCAGAAGATATTGTTAATTGAGGTGCAGGACATCTTGTTTTGCTTACAGCTTCTTCATTAGCCACTTGTGGGGCATCGGTGCCTGGACGTTGTGTGGTTATGGGGGACCTTTAGCTGCTTGCGGGGCATTGGTGCCTGGACACGCTCGTGTTGTGTGGTTTTGGGTCACCTTTAGCCGCTTGCGGGGGCCTCTGGAGTCCTTGGCGTCGAACACCATCCACTCCTGGTTGACTCGCTCCACGTTGGCGTCGCTGTGGTTCACCAGCTGGAAGCCCGTCACGTTCGGGGTCAGTTTCAGTAGCTCCGTGAAGTTCAGGTCCATGAAACCCTGAGGAAGGACAGGCATTTATTTATATATCACTCTGCATCCGAGACACAGCAAATGAAAGTAAGTCTGTAACACAGGTGTAATGTGAGGTCTGTAACACAGGTGTAATGTGAGGTCTTTAACACAGGTGTAATGTGAGGTCTTTAACACAGGTGTAATGTGAGGTCTGTAACACAGGTGTAATGTGAGGTCTTTAACACAGGTGTAATGTGAGGTCTGTAACACAGGTGTAATGTGAGGTCTGTAACACAGGTGTAATGTGAGGTCTGTAACACAGGTGTAATGTGAGGTCTGTAACACAGGTGTAATGTGAGGTCTTTAACACAGGTGTAATGTGAGGTCTGTAACACAGGTGTAATGTGAGGTCTGTAACACAGGTGTAATGTGAGGTCTGTAACACAGGTGTAATGTGAGGTCTGTAACACAGGTGTAATGTGAGGTCTTTAACACAGGTGTAATGTGAGGTCTGTAACACAGGTGTAATGTGAGGTCTGTAACACAGGTGTAATGTGAGGTCTTTAACACAGGTGTAATGTGAGGTCTGTAACACAGGTATAATGTGGTAATGCGAGGTCTTCAACACAGGTGTAATGTGAGGTCTATAACACAGGTGTAATGTGAGGTCTGTAACACAGGTGTAATGTGAGGTCTTTGGACTCACCTGATTGGCCAGAATGTAGTGGTAGTTCTTCAGATTCCTCTTCTGCTGCGCCATCTGAAACCAGACCGTGAACACAGGGTTAAAGGAGAAAACCTTCAGTCCTGTCACCAGTGTGTAGCACGGCCCTCAGAGTGGATCAAACACATGTATGATAATAATGAACGTAGTCACGCCTATCTCCGCAGTTCTAACTAATGGGCCAAAAATGTTGCTCTACTGGACATATCCAAAATGGCCGCGAGTGGTCCCGCCCACAAGAAAATTGTGAAAAAACGCATCTGTGCATGCGTCAGCCGGCGCAGCTCCATTCATTTGAACGAGAGACTTCAAAAATTCACAGCAAGTAAACTGGACTGGTCCAAAAAAATTCACCCCCCTCAGCATTGAAACATGTGGAACGGAGCTTTGGGCCAAGAGCCAACTTTGGGACCATCCTGTAAAGACGTTTTCCAGAGGTCTGCCAATGTTAGCATTGGCTAATTCTTATTCCGGGTCCATCCCCATCGGCCCAAGGTGGTATTGCAGCATGTCAGCGCACATCATTTTGGCCACTTTTGAGTCGGGACCTGCCCCCACTGGTTTAAACCTGTCGACCTGTAAACATGGACGAGAGGCCACCTCCAAGTACCTCATTAGTACTGCAGCCTAAATCCACACAAACTAAAGACCACCTGCCAAGTTTCTCCAGTGGAGACACACACCAACAGGGCTGGCCCTAGAAACTTACGCTGAAGTTCCTGCGGTGGAACCGCGACTCATGACATCTTTTATACATATTCATACTAATAATTGTTTGCATTTGTTTTGTTTCTGAGGTTTTGGCCAGAGACCACAAAGACTAGAAAGATACCAAAGAGACTAGAGAGAGACCAGAGAGAGACTAGAGAGAGACCAGAGAGAGACCAGAGAGAGAAGACAGCGGTGACTATAATGTGAGATGAAACATTCCAACACCTTCATAGCGTTTCTCAAACTGTGGCTCGTGAACATCAAAGCTGCGGTCACAAGGAGGACTCATAATCAGTTCATGTTTTTAATGTCGTTATTATTATTATCATTATTTATAACAAAACATACTGTACATATATATTATCCATTGCTGTTTCTGCTCCTCCACGCTCTGTGATAATCTCTCCGCCTTCAAAATCTCAATCCCTCTGTGAATGAGCTGAGTCTGGATTAAACTAAGTGGGCAGTTTAAGCACGTTCCCATTCAAAGCCCTCCGCTTCGCCGCTTTTCCGGGGCCGCCTCGCTTTCCCCCTGATCGGGGCCACATGTTCATGATTCCCGATTAATTCCTCAAAGCCGTGATCCAATTATGAGAGCGTGGAAGTGTGAAGAGACGCCAGTGTGAAGAGACGCCAGTGTGAAGAGACGCCAGTGTGAAGAGACGCCAGTGTGAAGAGACACCAGTGTGAAGAGACGCCAGTGTGAAGACACACCAATGTGAAGAGACGCCAGTGGGATTCTCCTGAACGGTGTCCAAACACGTTCCAGAGGCTATAGAGAGCAAAGAGAGACCAGAGAGAGACCAGAGGGAGACTACAGAGAGGGACCAGAGGGAGACTGCAGAGAGGGACCAGAGGGAGAATACAGAGAGAGACCAAAGCAAGACTACAGAGAGCAGATAGAGACCATTAGGTGAAACTGACCAGCGAGAGACCAAAGAGACCAGATCAGAGAAAGACCAGAGAGAGACTGGAAAGAGACAAGACAGAGTTCTTCTAAACACCTTTATGAGATAATAATGAGAACATGGTTGATATTTGAAATAGTTGAAACAACACATGTAGTTGATCCAACAGAAAGAGACTTGTAAAAAGAAAAGACAATACCAGAGAGAGACCAGAGAAATACCAGAGAGAGACCAGAGAAATACCAGAGAGAGACCAGAGAAAGATCAGAGCGAGACCAGCAAGAGACCCATGAGAGACCTGAGAAAGACTAGCGAGAGACATGAGTGAGACCACAGAGAGGCCACAGAGAGATAAGAGAGACCAGAGAGAGACCAGAAGGACTAGAGAGACCAGAGAGTCTTGTAAGCGTAAACCATGAGCTGCAGGTTCTGACCAGGTTGAGGATGTAGTTCATCTTCTCCAGCTCACAGTCGATGATGATCTGGAACTCCTTCTTGAAATCCAGATCCGCCAGAAGTTTGACAAAAGCCGTTTCTGTGAGTGTGTCCAGGTTCACCGAGGTCACCTGCCACGTGAGCTCCGCCGCCGTGTCCAGGATCCGCTGCAGGACGCCCAGCCCTGGGGAGAGAACCAGAAGAAACCAGGGAGTTAGAGAAACATGGAGGACCACCAGCCCTGGGGAGAGAACCAGAGGAAACCAGGGAGTTAGAGAAACATGGAGGACCACCAGCCCTGGGGAGAGAACCAGAGGAAACCATCCTCTGCATTTGACCCATCTTGATGCTGCTAAGTCAGAAGCAGTGGTCGCCGTAGTAACAGCAGGAACCCACAAGGGACCCATCTCCAGATGTTGACGTTTGGGCTTGGTCAGGAACAGAGTTGGAGGATTTTTTACCCAGTGTGAATATATTTAGTGGTTGGGGACACCGAAGCACCTGGAGGAAAACTCTAATCAAAAATACCCTGTTCCAACCCAGGACCTTCTTGCTGAGAAGCGGGAGTGCTATCCACTCAGCTATAGTGCTGTAGTAGAGTAGAGTAGAGTAGAGTAGAGTGGAGAAGTGTAGAGTAGAAAAGGGTATTGTAGAGTAAAGTAGAGAAGTGTAGAGTAGAGTAGAGTAGAGAAGTGTAGAGAACAATAGAGCAGAGGAAAGTAGAGTATTGTAGAGAGAGTAGAGTTGCAGAGAAGTGTAGAGTATTGTAGAGTATTGTGGAGTAAAGTAGGGCAGTGTAGAGTATTTTAGAGTAGAGTGGAGAAGTGTAGAGTAGAAAAGTGTATTGTAGAGTAAAGTAGAGGAGTGTAGAGTAGAGTAGAGTTGAGTAGAGTGGAGCAGAGTATCGTAGAGTAAAGTAGAGAAGTGTAGAGTATTGTAGAGTAGAGAACAATAGAGTATAGGAAAGTAGAGTAGAGTATTGTAGAACAGAGTAGAGTTGCAGAGTAGAGTAGAGAAGTGTAGAGTATTTTAGAGTAGAGTAGAGTAGAGTAGAGTACAGTAGAGTAGAATCAAGTCGAGTAGAGTAGAGTAGAGTAGAGTACAGTCTTTATGTTGATGGTTGTAAACATGGCATAAGGTTCCAAAGTGCAACATCTGGAGCTGCGTTCTCGTTCTGCTCCCCACATCAGCACAGACTCAGATTCTGTTTATGCCATTTACAGTAAAACCACATAGGAATACACGTGCAAGAGTCCCCAGTGTGCACCAGAACAAGTACATACACAAAACAAGGTGCAAAGTATACGAAACAGTTGTCACCGTGAAATGTATCAACTGAAACAGATCCAATACAAGTGTAAAATCATTCATATGCTCTGTTAAAACTGTTTGTGGAAAGAAGCTATTAGCAAAACGAGATCTTCTGCCAGAGGGAAGAAGCTGGAACATTGCTTTTCCAGGGGCCTGAAGAGTCATTGATTATCTGAAGTTAAAGAGTCTGGATTCATAAAGAACCTCCAGAGCAGCTTAAAGTAGTACTAGAATTTAATATGCTGCTATCCAGAATATATAACTACAATATGTGTTTATAATATTTCGGGTGTTCATTTTGATATGTTCAGATGAATTATGTTAAAAAAACAGCTTTGAAGTGGCACCTTTTCACTTCCGCATAGTCACGCTAGGGGGGGCCAAAATGGCGGCGATGACGTAGGAGAATGACCTCTCACAGCAGCAGCAGCAGTCTGGGCTGAATCTGTAGGAGGTTTCACTGTCATCTGAACAAGGTACATTGTAATATTCATAAATGCTAACACCTATTAACGGTTTAATTAGCATTTGTATCAATGATTGCATCACATTTAGTCTATGTTTTCAACTTCTGCAGCTTTTTGTTCATAAAAGTAAAATATTTATTTAATTCAAGTTATTTTGATTAGCATGTATGGATATTACAAAGTACATTGTGGTAAATAAATCTAAGGCAACCAAAGTGAGACTGGCATAATGTAAAAACGAATATTAGCCTTGTTAGCATGTTTTATGATATCAAGTAGAGTTAGCTAACTTGCCCGACACTAATTAGCTTGAATCTCACAAATAAGGCTAAAAGGTTAAAAGAGTTGCACACTATTATGTACAAAACTGATGAAAATATGTTTATACCTTGTTCAGATGACAGTGAAACCTCCTACAGATTCAGCCCAGACTGCTGCTGCTGCTGTGAGAGGTCATTCTCCTACGTCATCGCCGCCATTTTGGCGCCCCCTAGCGTTTGTGAAAAGGTCCGACTTCAAAGCCGTTTTTTTAACATAATTCATCTGAATATGTCAAAATGAACACCCGAAATATTATAAACACATATTGTAGTTATATATTCTGGATAGCAGCATATTAAATTCTACTACTACTTTAACCTCAGCTGACAGAGAACCTGACAGAGAACCTGACATAGAACCTGACATAGAACCTGACAGAGAACCTGACAGAGAACCTGACAGAGAACCTGACATAGAACCTGACATAGAACCTGACAGAGAGCCTGACAGAGAACCTGACAGAGAATCTGACAGAGAACCTGACAGAGAGCCTGACAGAGAACCTGACAGAGAGCCTGACAGAGAACCTGACAGAGAACCTGACAGAGAGCCTGACAGAGAACCTGACAGAGAACCTGACAGAGAGCCTGACAGAGAACCTGACAGACAACCTGACAGAGAGCCTGACAGAGAACCTGACAGAGAGCCTGACAGAGAACCTGACAGAGAACCTGACAGAGAACCTGACAGAGAGCCTGACAGAGAACCTGACAGAGAGCCTGACAGAGAACCTGACAGAGAACCTGACAGAGAGCCTGACAGAGAACCTGACAGAGAACCTGACAGAGAGCCTGACAGAGAACCTGACAGAGAACCTGACAGAGAGCCTGACAGAGAACCTGACAGAGAACCTGACAGAGAACCTAAAGCTTTCATAAAGGTCGAATTCTGTGGAGATTTTAGTTTCTCTTGTTGTACTGAACTTTTTTCTTGTTAAATCCATCGGTTTCTTTTGAATTTTTCGGTTTCCATGTTTGCTTCATGCGCCACTGAGCACAAGCATCGATTTGAAAAAGCTGACATCTTTGATCGCTGGGGCTTGGAAACAACTCTTTCTGCTCTCTCTCTCTCTGGTCTCTCTCCCAGCTCTCTCTTTCTCTCTGGTCTCTTTCTGGTCTCTCTCTGGTAGCTCTCTCTGGCCTCTCTCCCAGGTCTCTCTCTCTCTCTAGTATCTCTCTCTCTCTGGTCTCTCTCCCAGGTCTCTCTCTCTCTTTGGTCTCTGGTCTCTCTCGCTTTCTGGTCTCTCTCTGGTATCTCTCTCTGGCCTCTCTCCCAGGTCTCTCTCTCTCTCTCTCTCTCTCTCTCTCTCTAGTCTCTCTCTCTGGTCTCTCTCTCTGGTCTCTCTCTGTTTTCTCTCTCTGGTCTCTCTCTCTGGTCTCCCTCTCTTTGGTCTCTCTCCCAGGTCTCTCTCTCCCTCTGGTCTCTCTCTGGTCTCCCTCTCTTTGGCCTCTCTCCCAGGTCTCTCTCTCTCTCTCTCTAGTCTCTCTCTCTGGTCTCTCTCTGTTTTCTCTCTCTGGTCTCTCTCTCTGGTCTCCCTCTCTTTGGTCTCTCTCCCAGGTCTCTCTCTCCCTCTGGTCTCTCTCGCTGGTCTCTCTCTTTGGCCTCTCTATATTCTCTCTCTCTAGTCTCTCTCTCTGGTCTCCCTCTGCTCTCTCTCTCTCTCTCCGGTCCCGCTCTCTGCCTGTGATGTCGCAGACCCACACAGAGCCCTGGGACGAGCGGCTGCAGTGGCGTGTCTTCAGACCACAGACTGTAGGTATGAAGACCTGCAGGGGTCTTCCTCTGGTAGCGCACACACAGCCTCTGCCTCTCCGCACGCCTCACCTCAGCTCTGCAAAGCCCGAGCTGCAGCTGCGCCTCATGCTCCACTTGTCAAACCAGGCAGAAGGACCATCAAACAGAGAGCTCCTCCTCCAAACACAGTCTCAACTCATCTCCCAGACTCAGAAAGTGCAGCTGAAGGGTTCTTTAACGCTGATTGTGCTGGATTCTCTCTCTCTGATCTCTCTTTCTGATCTCTCTTTCTGATCTCTCTTTCTGATCTCTCTTTCTGATCTCTCCCTGGCCTCTCTCTACTCTCATCCTGGTCTCTCTCTCTCTCTCCCTGGTCTCTCTATCGCTCTCTCTGCTCTCTCTCCCCTCTCACCCTGGTCACTCTTTCTGGTCTCTCTCTCTCTCTCACTGGTCTCTTTCTCTCCCTGGTCCCTCTTTCTGGACTCGCTCTCTAGTGTCTCTCGTCTCTCTCGGGTTTCTCTCTCTCTCTGATCTCTCACTGGTCTCTCTCTGCTCTCTCACTGGTCACTCTTTCTGGTCTCTCTCTCTCTCAAGTCTTTCTCTCTTGTGTCTCACTGGTTTCTCTCTCTCTCTCTCTGCTCTCTCCCTGGTCTCTCTCTCTGGGGTCTCTCGGATTTCTCTCTTTCTCCAGTCTCTCTCAGGTCTCATTCTCTCACTGGTCTCTTTCTCTCCCTGGTCACTCTTTCTGGTCTCTCTCTCTCTCTCTCAAGTCTTTCTCTCCTGTGTCTCACTGGTTTCTCTCTCTCTCTCTCTCTGCTCTCTCCCTGGTCTCTCTCTCTGGGGTCTCTCGGATTTTTCTCTTTCTCCAGTCTCTCTCAGGTCTCATTCTCTCACTGGTCTCTTTCTCTCCTTGGTCACTCTTTCTGTTCTCTCTCTCTGGTGTCTCTCGGGTTTCTCTCTCTCTCTCCGATCTCTCACTGGTCTCTCTCTATTGTTTTTGTCTCCCTCTGGTCTCTCTCTCCGATCTCTCACTGGTGTCTCTCAGGTTTCTCTCTTCCTCTGGTCTCTCTCTGGTCTCCCTCTGGTCTCTCTCTGGTCTCTCTCTGGTCTCTCTCTGGTCTCTCTCTGGTCTCTCTCTGGTCTCTCTCTGGTCTCTCTCTGGTCTCTCTCTAGTCTGTCTTTGGTCTCTCTCTGGTCTCTCTCTGGTCTCTCTCTCTAGTCTCTCTGGTCTCTCCCTGGTGTTTCTCTGGTCTCTCTCTGGTCTCTCTCTGGTCTCTCTCTGGCCTCTCTCTGGTCTCTCTCTGGTCTCCCTCTGGTCTCTCTCTGGTCTCTCTCTGGTCTCTCTCTGGTCTCTCACTCTGCATGCATGTAACAGGAGCAGACTGTTTAAGAGCCAAGACCACATGTGTTTGTGGGGAGAAAGTTGAGTACCCGAGCTTCAAAGTTAAAAGCACAAAATGTCTCCATGAAACGTCTCATGTCACATTAATGAAACTAGGAGCTGAGACCACAACTGGAGTTCTGTGTGTGTGTGTGTGTGCGTGTGTGTGTGTGTGTGTGTGCGTGTCTGTGGTCTGTGTGTGTGTGCGTGTCTGTGGTCTGTGTGTGTGTGTGTGTCTGTATCTGTATGCAAGTGTGTCTATGTGTGGTCTGTGAGTTTGTGTGAGCGCGTGTGTGTGTGTCTTTATGTCCGTGAGTGTGTGTGTGTCTGTATCTTCTGTGTGTGTGTTATTACAGTATGTGTGTGTGTCTCTCTGTGTCTGTGTGTGTGTGTCTCTCTGTGTTTGTGTGTGTGTCTTTATGTCTGTGAGTGTCTCTTTCTTTGTGTGTGTGTCTCTCTCTCTCTCTCTCTGTGTGTGTGTCTTTGTGTGTGTGTGTGTGGTCTGTTTGTGTGTGTGTGTGTGTGTGTGTGTGCGTTCGTTGCAGAGGTTAGCGTGCCTCCCGAACAGCCGTGCTTTTTCCCTTTGTCCTGTTCCGCTCCACCTCCCATCATGCATCTCTCCTTGGCCTGGTTCAGCCGATTAGCTTCATCTGTCGTTCGCTAACGAGACCCACAACTTCAGTCTGTTCCACTGCGTCCGGATCCATTCCACTTTTATTACCAATTACTGCTATTTTTACCTACGATACCACAGCACCGGGTCAGAGAGCAAACGTGTTTTAGACGAGCCTTAAAACGTGATCTTGACAACACGAGAAATAATTAATGAGCAAGAAAAGTACTTGGATTAAAGCTGCCGTACGTAACTTTCAAACCACAACAATAGAACCGTGATAACATCCGTGTCTCTGGTTCCAGGCTCTAAAAAAGTTTGATTCTATCGTTAGATTTTACATCATGTGGTGTTTTTGGACCATAATCACATCTTCAGATCAGCTTTTTCAGACAGAAAAGTGAAAGAGAGACCAGAGGGAGACCAGAGAGAGACCAGAGAGAGACCAGAGAGAGACCAGAGAGAGACCAGAGAGAGACCAGAGAGAGACCAGAGAGAGACGAGAGAGAGACTAGAGAGAGACCAGAGGGAGACCAGAGAGAGACGAGAGAGAGACGAGAGAGAGACTAGAGAGAGACTAGAGAGAGACCAGAGAGAGACCAGAGAGAGACCAGAGAGAGACCAGAGAGAGACCAGAGAGAGACGAGAGAGAGACGAGAGAGAGACTAGAGAGAGACTAGAGAGAGACCAGAGAGAGACCAGAGAGAGACCAGAGAGAGACCAGAGAGAGACCAGAGGGAGACCAGAGGGAGACCAGAGAGAGACCAGAGGGAGACCAGAGAGAGACCAGAGAGAGACCAGAGAGAGACTAGAGAGAGACCAGAGAGAGACCAGAGGGAGACCAGAGAGAGACCAGAGAGAGACCAGAGAGAGACCAGAGAGAGACCAGAGAGAGACCAGACAGAGACCAGAGAGAGACAGAGAGAGACCAGAGAGAAGGAGAGACCAGAGAGAGACTAGAGAGAGACCAGAGAGAAGGAGAGACCAGAGAGAGACCAGAGAGAGACTAGAGAGAGACCAGAGAGAAGGAGAGACCACCCACCCTCACTCAGCCAATCAGCTCTCAGCCCGAAAGGGTCAAATAGTGACTCACAGGGCTGCTTACACAAAAGACACCAAGTTCAAAGACACCATGTTGTGGTTGGCCTGGTCATATCATACCATCATACAAATTTCATTTGGTACTAAGGTCTGGATTTGCTCCATTGACTCTGTTAACAAGTGGGAGGGGTTAACTCCTTGAAACGATTGGATCTGAGTTTACTGTGACGTATGTAATGCACCTGAGTGAGTCGCTAGCATTTAGCATTCAGCCTAGCTTTAGCATTTAGCCTAGCTTTAGCATTTAGCCTAGCTTTAGCATTTAGCCTAGCTTTAGAATTTAGCATAGCTTTAGCCATCTCCTTTGTCACTAACGAAGCCCGTGGGGAGTAGAGCCACAACAGCTTTGCTTCAATGACATTTACTAAACATTCCTCTTGCTCCGGCTTCAGTTTCTTGATATTTGGATTGAACCAGAACAGATTATTTTACTATCCCATTCTCCGACAAACTACAACCAACAAATTCAGCACAAACTCTTGACGACACCGACCTACAACACCCGCCTCCCCCGCTCTCTGATTGGTCGGAGGAGATTCAACCGAGGAAACTGCAGCCACTAGGATCAGACCCAGACGTACATGTAGGAAATGACCATGGACCAGAGTTTACACATGGTAAGACCAGACGTACATGTAGGAGATGATCATGGACCAGAGTTTACACATGGTAAGACCAGACGTACATGTAGGAGATGATCATGGACCAGAGTTTACACATGGTAAGACCAGACGTACATGTAGGAGATGATCATGGACCAGAGTTTACACATGGTAAGACCCAGACGTACATGTAGGAAGTGATCATGGACCAGAGTTTACACATGGTAAGACCAGACGTACATGTAGGAGATGACCATGGACCAGAGTTTACACATGGTAAGACCAGGCTGAAGTTGTGGTTTGACTTTGACACAACTTTTTCCCCATGTTTTCAGATCCCTGTCAACATGGACCTCCCTCGATGGCTCTTACATGAGATTCCCTCTGGGTTTCTGGGTTCCTCGCCGACGCAGGAGGGTCTGAGTCCAGTCCCGATCCTGGACATTTGTGTATTCATGAGCATTTGTGGACAGTGGTGGTCCCAGAGGAGCGGTCACTGCTCACTCACGGTTTTAGGAGCTGTCAGTTTATAAGCACAGACGCATGAGTGAGCAGAGGTCCCTGAAGACTGGGCCCGGAGCAAGGACGGGGCCACTCCACACACCGCCAAAAACACACAATCCACCACCAGGGAGCAATACACACACAAGGAGCAGCACACACATACAGAGGGAGGAGCGCACACACACACAAATGTAGCAGCACACACACACGGAACTGCCCATCCACACGCGTACACACACACAGAGGGCAGAGCGCACACACACACACACACACGGAACAGCATACACACACACACACACACACACGGAACAGCATACACACACACACACACACACACACACACACACACACACAAGGATAAATGTGGAAGAGTTTCAAATTAAGTCATGAAGACAAAGTTTCTGCAGTAAAATGACCACATAACTGTGCCAGAGAGAGAGAGAGCAGAGAGAGACTAGAGAGAGACCAGAGAGAGACCAGAGAGAGACCAGAGAGAGAGAGACCAGAGAGAGACCAGAGAGAGACCAGAGAGAGACAAGAGAGAGACCAGAGAGAGACCAGAGAGAGACAAGAGAGAGACCAGAGAGAGACCAGAGAGAGACCAGAGAGAGACCAGAGAGAGACCAGAGAGAGACCAGAGAGGGACCAGAGAGAGACTAGAGAGAGACCAGAGTTCCTGTTTTGAGTGTGGATGGATCTAAAAACAACTCCTGGTCTGTGACTGATGAGGAACAATGTTGGAAGAAGGTAAAAGGAGAGAAGAAGTTGATTCTGCAGAATGTGTCTCCTTTAACAGTGACATCTACCTCTTGTCAGTCTCAAAAGGTCTCTCTCTGGTCTCTCTCTGGTCTCTCTCTGGTCTCTCTCTGGTCTCTCTCTGGTCTCTCTCTGGTCTTTCGCTCTGGTCTCTCTCTGGTCTCTCTCTGG